TCCCATTCCCAGAAATCCATGGGGATTTTCACTGAACTGGTTGTCCCTGTGTCCCCAGTGTTCAACACGGTTTACAACAGCGATGACAACGTGTTTGTGGGAGCCCCCACGGGGAGTGGGAAAACCATCTGTGCCGAGTTTGCCATCCTGAGGATGTTGCTCCAGAATTCCGAAGGACGCTGTGTGTACATCACTCCCATGGAGGCCCTGGCAGAGCAGGTGGGTCCAACATCCTGGGAATACCTGGGGCTTTATCTCAGCTTTGATTTCCATCCTCATCCCCCGTTTCGTTTTCCTCATCCCTTCTTTGCTGTCACAACCCTTGGGATAACTCCAGAGTTATCTGATTATTGTGTCCTCCCTGAGGGAGCAGAGGCACTATCCCATTGCCAGCCTGCATCAGGAATTTGGTAGAAATTTGAGGGTAACAGCAGCATCTTTCTCATTCGTTGGCAGGTTTTCATGGACTGGTACGAGAAGTTCCAGGAGCGCCTCAACAAGAAGGTGGTTCTGCTGACGGGGGAAACCAGCACCGACCTGAAGCTGCTGGGAAAAGGGAACATCATCATCAGCACCCCAGAGAAGTGGGACATCCTGTCCCGCCGCTGGAAGCAGAGGAAGAACGTCCAGAACGTGAACCTGTTCATCGTGGATGAAGTGCACCTGATTGGGGGGGAAAATGGGGTGAGTTGGGGAGGGGAGAAAGTGCTTCTCCTTGGGGGATGTCCCTCATGGTGGGTGAACTGGTGCTGTGTCCAGTCTGGATCAGCTTTTCCTGCTGGGAATGGGGTGGATTGATCCTGTATCCAGGTCCAATCAGCTTTCCTTCCTGGGAATGGGGTGGATTGATGCTGTATCCACTCTCAGCTCAACTTCCCCAGCTGGGAATTCTCCCATGGGCTGGCATAGGAGAGCTGTATCCCTTGGGAAGCTCAGGAGGGGCATCCCCTGGAATCTCCCACCTGTCCCCCAGCAGGGAGCTCTCCGTGTCCCCATTCCCACTCCAAGGTGTGTCCCCACAGCCCGTGCTGGAGGTGATCTGCTCCCGGATGCGCTACATCTCCTCTCAGATCGAGCGGCCGATCCGCATCGTGGCCCTCAGCTCGTCCCTGTCCAACGCCAAGGACGTGGCCCACTGGCTGGGCTGCAGTGCCACCTCCACCTTCAACTTCCACCCTAACGTGCGCCCCGTGCCCCTGGAGCTGCACATCCAGGTAGGGCTGGGAATGGCACCTGTGTGCCTCCTGCCCCGGAGGGGGATGGTGCCTTGGGATTGTTGTTAATTCTTGTTGTTGTTAATAATCCCTTGGGATTGTTGTTAGTTCCTGTTATTGTTAATTCTTGTTTCATTGATTCTTGTTAGTAATCCTTTTGGGATAGATTAGAGTGAAAGGACACTGAATGATTGGGGTTTATAAATTAATTAATTAATAAAAATATAAGTTATTATTTTATTATATTGCATTGATATATATTATTGCAATTATTATTGCCTTCTTTGCTCTGACACACAACCCTTGTTCCCAAATCTAAGATGTCTCCTAGTCCACATTAACTAATCACTGATAACAGGTAATTAAGGCAGCTGGCACAAGACTATTAATATATTTTATAATGTGGTTATAGTGTGATTATGTGATTATAATGTGACTATAATGTGATTATAATACAATATCTATATTTTTAAAGAAAACGTAACTGGTTTGGTGACTCTCCCTGGGCAGGGCTTCAACATCAGCCACACGCAGACGCGGCTGCTGTCCATGGCCAAGCCTGTGTACCACGCTGTCATGAAGCACTCGCCCAAAAAACCCGTCATTGTCTTCGTGCCGTCCCGCAAACAGACCCGGCTCACGGCCATCAACATCCTCACCACCTGTGCCTCGGATGTGCAGCGCCAGAGGTGGGGACACGGGGCTGGGGGGGACATGGGGCACCTGGAGGGGGACATGGGGCACTTGGGGGGGGACATGGGGCACCTGGAGGGGGACATGGGGCACTTGGGGGGGGACATGGGGCACCTGGGGGAACATCACGGGGGGACTCGCACCCCAGCGAGGGGCTGGAGCGTGTCCAGGGAAGAGGACGGAGCTGGGGAAGCGGCTGAGGGAGCTGGGGGGGGCTCTGCCTGGAGAAAAGGAGGCTCAGGGGGGACCTTCTCACTCTCTGCAACTCCCTGACAGGAGGGGGAGCTGGGGGGGGTCGGGCTCTGCTCCCAGGGAACAAGGGACAGGACAAGGGGAAATGGCCTCAAGCTGTGCCAGGGGAAGGTCAGGTTGGATACTGGCGAAATTCCTTCATGGAAAGAGCTGTCCAGCCCTGGCACAGAGGTGAAGTCCCCATCCCTGATGGCACTTGTGAACATGGTCAGTGGTGGCCTGGGCAGCACTGGGGGAACAGTTGGACTCGATGATCTTACTGGATTTTTCCAACCCAAACCATTCCATGGTTCCCTGGCAGGTTCCTGCACTGCGCAGAGAAGGACCTGGTGCCGTACCTGGACAAGCTGAACGACAACACCCTGAAGGAGACACTGGTGAACGGGGTTGGGTACTTGCACGAGGGGCTCACGGCCATGGAACGACGTGTGGTGGAGCAGCTCTTCAGCTCTGGTAAGGGGTAGGGTGGGGACAGGGCCTGGAACCCTTTTCCTTGGAGCTCAGCAGTGCCCAAAGTCTTGGGACTGGAGATGACACCTTGTCCAAGCTTTGTGGCACTTCTAACAGAGACCTGAGAGCCCCTTCCAGAGACTAAAGGGGCTCCAGGAGCTGGAGAGGGACTTTGGACAATGGCCTGGAGGGACAGGACAAGGAGGAATGGCTTCCCACTGACAGAGGGCAGGGTTAGATGGGATAGTAGGAAGGAATTCTTCCCTGTGAGGGTGGGGAGGGGCTGGAATGGAATTCCCAGAGCAGCTGTGGCTGCCCCTGGATCCCTGGAAGTGTTCAAGGCCGGGTTGCACAGGGCTTGGAGCAACCTGGGCTAGTGGAAGATGTCCCTGCCCATGGCAGGGGGTGGAACAGGAAGATCTTTAAGGTCCCTTCTAACCCTAACCATTCCATGATTCCGTGATCCTCTACCTCTCACATCCAAAAAATCTGCCATCTTAAACATCACCCCCCACCTTTCCTGCACCTCCCTGTATTCCCAGACCCCTCTGGGGAGCACAGAACCCCACAGATCTCTCCCCCCCCCCAATTCCAGTGCCCTGCAAAAATGCTGAGCACCCTCCCTGTTCCCCTTCCAGGCGCAGTCCAGGTGATGGTGGCCTCCCGCAGCCTGTGCTGGGGCATGAACATCGCAGCCCACCTGGTGATCATCATGGACACCCAGTACTACAACGGCAAGATCCATGCGTGAGTGGAGCCCCCCAATCCCACAGGGCCTCATTCCTGCCCAAGGGGATCCCTGGGAGCTCTCCTTGGAGCTCTGCTCACCCTCTGTCCCTGCCCAGGTATGTGGATTACCCCATCTACGATGTGCTGCAGATGGTGGGCCACGCCAACCGCCCGCTGCAGGACGACGAGGGCCGTTGTGTCATCATGTGCCAGGGGTCCAAGAAGGTGGGTGAGGGCTGGAGCACGTTCCTGGTCTTCAAATATCTTCCTAGGGTGTGGAGGCAGATGTTTCTCTCCCAGCTGATGGATAACCCTCACTCAGAGCCGTGTGGCTGCGACCTGGGAGTCGCTCTGGGATTTTGGAGGTTTATTTACCCCTTCCCTCCTGCCCTGGCTGTAGGATTTCTTCAAGAAGTTCCTGTACGAGCCCCTGCCAGTGGAATCCCACCTGGATCACTGCATGCACGACCACTTCAACGCCGAGATCGTCACCAAGACCATCGAGAACAAGCAGGATGCGGTGGATTATCTCACATGGACCTTCCTGTACCGCAGGATGACCCAGAACCCCAACTACTACAACCTGCAAGGTGGGCAGAGAGGGCTGAGGGTATCAGGGACCCTCTGCCTGTGGGCTCTGCAGCTTTTTTTGCCCTTCCTGGAAAGTCTCTGAGCTCTGCTGTACCCACAGGTGTGTCCCACAGGCACCTTTCAGATCACCTCTCCGAGCTGGTGGAGCAGACCCTGAGCGACCTGGAGCAGTCCAAGTGCATCAGCATCGAAGATGAGATGGATGTGGCTCCTCTGAACCTGGGCATGATTGCTGCCTACTACTACATCAACTACACCACCATAGGTGAGGGCTCCCCAGGGACAGGCACCACACCTGCCCTCCGTCCCTGATCCAGTGCCGCAGGTGACAGAGAAGGTGCTGTGGCTGTGTAAAACTCCATCCTTTTGCCTCTTTTCTCTGAAAAAAATCAGTGTTTTCATGCTGTCTCCACTCGTCCCTTCCCCAGAGCTCTTCAGCATGTCCCTTAATGCCAAGACCAAGGTGAGAGGGCTCATTGAGATCATCTCCAACGCCGCTGAGTACGAGAACATCCCCATCCGGCACCACGAGGACAACCTGCTGCGCCAGGTGAGGCTCAGGGGGGGAATTTCTGAACGACTGGACATGGTGCTCAGAGCTCTGGGCTGGGTGACAAGGTGGGGATTGGTCACAGATTGGACTCAGTGACCTTGGAGGTCTCTTCCAACCTAATTAATGCTGTGATTCCAAAAGGTGGTTTCTCTGCATCACCCCAGGGATGGAATTGTCCATGTTTTCAGGGTAAAGCACTGATGAGTTAATCATTTCTTCCCACAGCTGTCCCAAAAGGTCCCCCACAAGTTGACCAACCCCAAATTCAATGATCCCCACGTCAAGACCAACCTGCTGCTCCAGGCCCACCTGTCCCGGATGCAACTGAGTGCGGAGCTGCAGTCGGACACCGAGGAAATCCTCAGCAAGGTGGGGCTGGGGGGCCCACCAAAACCACTCTGTCACTGCCCTCCACAACTGGACAGGGGAGAGAAAATATAGGGAAAGGTCCATGAGTTGTGATAAGGACAGGGAGAGATCCCTCATTAATCACCTCCATGGGCAAAACAGACTCGAACTGGGGATAGGAATTGAATTTATTACCAACCAAATCAGAGCAGGATAATGAAAAGTTAAATAAGTCTTCAAAAAACACTTTCCCCTCCCTCCTTCCCAGGCTCTCCCTCCTACCTCCAGAGATGGGAATGGGGGTCACAGTCAGTTCATACCATGTTGCTCCTCCTGCTCTGCAGGGCTGCTCCTCTCACATGTTCTCACTCTGCTCCTCCCTGCACCCAGTTCCATCTGTGCCATAACTTTTTCCTTAAACATGTTATCCCAGAGGTGTAACTGTCATTCCTGCTGGGCTCAGCTTTGGCCAGTGGTGGGTCTGTCCTGGCTCTGCTGGAATTGGCTCTGCTGGACACGGGGCAAACTTCTGGCAGTTTCTCACTGAATCCAACCCTGTAGCCCCTCCACTACCAAACCCTGGGCACACCAACCCAACTCCCCGTGTCACCGTCTCCACCCCTTAACCCGTTCTGTCCCCCATGTCCAGGCGATCCGACTGATCCAGGCCTGCGTGGACGTGCTGTCCAGCAATGGGTGGCTGAGCCCAGCTCTGGCCGCCATGGAGCTGGCCCAGATGGTCACCCAGGCCATGTGGTCCAAGGACTCCTACCTCAAGCAGCTGCCTCACTTCACCTCGGAGCACATCAAGCGCTGCACGGACAAGGTAAAATCCTGGTGGGAGGAGCACCAGGGTCCTGCCCTCGGAGTGCCGGGAAGCTCCAGGCTGAAAAAATCCCTCCTTGCAGGGTGTGGAGAGCGTGTTTGACATCATGGAGATGGAGGACGAGGACAGGAACGCGCTGCTGCAGCTCTCAGATGCCCAGATCGCCGATGTCGCCCGGTTCTGCAACCGCTACCCCAACATCGAGCTGTCCTACGAGGTGGTGGACAAGGACAGCATCCGCAGGTGGGTGGCCTTGGGGTCCCTCCAGCTGGGTGGAATTTAAGGTCCCTCCAACCCCAATCATTCCACGATCCTGTGGTTCTGTTCCTGCAGTGGAGGGCCCGTGGTGGTGCTGGTGCAGCTGGAGCGTGAGGAGGAGGTCACAGGGCCCGTCATCGCACCCCTGTTCCCTCAGGTATGGTGACACCGGGGTGGCAGGTTGGGGAGGGGGGGAATTGTCCCCAGATCTCACCTGTTTGCTCCTCCCTCCCCCTCAGAAACGTGAGGAGGGCTGGTGGGTGGTGATCGGAGACTCCAAGTCCAACAGCCTCATCTCCATCAAGCGCCTGACGCTGCAGCAGAAGGCCAAGGTGAGTAGGGGGTGGCACCGGGGGTGGCACTGGGCACCTTACCTTCCCTGCTGTCCCTGCTGCCATCCCAACACCTCCCCCTCCCCACCCAGGTCAAGCTGGATTTCGTGGCTCCAGCCACGGGGACTCACAACTACACATTGTACTTCATGAGTGACGCCTACATGGGCTGTGACCAGGAGTACAAGTTCAGTGTAGACGTGAAGGAGGCAGAAAGCGACAGCGACTCTGACTGATCCCAGGCCAGAGGATCCCCCCCGGAGCTCAGCCCCCCACTCCCAACCTCCACAGCACTCGTGTCCCCTCCCTTTGTGTTGTTTCCATGTGTTTTCCACGTGTTTTCCTTTGGTTTTTTAAAGTGTGGATGCTTTGTACAGTGTTTTCTAGGCAGGAGCTGCATGACAGCAACTGCAATAAATCTCGGGACCTGACTCTGTGCTGATGGGGTGAGGAGGGGGGGAAAAAGTGTGACTCCAGACTCACTGAGCTCTGCCTTCACCCTGAGGCTCAACCAGCTCATCAGCAGCACTAATTAGGACATTTCTGGGAAAACTATGATGATCCCAACACCTCAGTGCTTCCCCTTGGGTGGTCCTGTCCCCTCGTGCCACCTCATCCATGGAGCACCCACACTCTCTTGTGTCACTCTGAGGGTTCCTGGAGTGTGAAAGGAAGATCCCAGGTGTGTGATCATGGAATCCTGAAGGTTGGAAGAGATTTTAGGATCGAGTCCAACCATCAACCCAAGAACTATAAGCTCCAAACCACTTGTGGAAGGAAGATCCAGAGGCCAGGAGCTCATGGATTTATTGGGGGGGGGGGAAGAGAGGGGAGAAAGTCCTGCTCCAGATCCTGGATCCAACCAGAGTCTGGCACAGCTGTCCTGGCCTCCCACAGGTGAGAAGGAGGAGCAGGCCAGGGTGGGCTCAGGGGACACACAAGGGGGTCTGTCCCCCTCAGCAGCCCTCGGGGCGCTGGTACTTCCAGAAGGCGATGTCCCCGTCATCGCTGCAGGACGCCAGGAGTCCTGGCTCCTTGGGGTTCCAGGCCACCCCGTTGACGTCCTGGGAGTGTGCCCGGGGCACGTGGGCGGTGAGGCTGAAGGTGGGTTGGGCCTCCTCCGACGTGGGGCTCTCCTCGAACACCCGGATGGCGTCGTCACCACAGGCTGTGGCCAGGGCACCTGTCAGGTGGCACCTGGGGGACACACAGAGGGGATGGGACCTGGGGAGGTGGCATCTGGAAGGGACAGGGCCCTAATGAGGTGGCACCTGGAGGGGTCGTGGGTGTCACCAGGAGGGAACAGGGCCCTGTTTTGGGGTGCCCCCAATACCTGCCCCTCACCAGGACACGTCGTAGATGGTCCTGCTGTGATACCCTGAGAGGGTGCACACACACTTCCAGGTGGGATCGGTGCCACTGCAGGCCACGCCTGGAGGGAGGTGAGAGAGCTCAGTGCCCTTTCCCTCCCCTTTTTCTCTTTCCCTCTCTTTTCCCTTTCCCTCTCCTTCTCCCTCTTCCTTCCCTTTCCCTCTCCTCCCCTTTCCCTCATTTCCCTTTCCTTATGCTTTCTCCCTCTTTTCCCTCTGCCTTCCCTCTTCCTCTCCTTCTCTCTTTTGACCCTCTTTCTTTTCCTCCTTTACTTCTCCTTTCCCCTCTCTTTTCCCCTCTTTCTCCTCCCTTTCCCCTCTCCCTCTTCTTTTCCCTCTTCCTCTTTTCTCTCCCCCTTTCCCCTCCCCACAGCTCTCCCCCCACCTCCCCTCACCTTCCTGGTTCCCGGGGTGGTACCGGCGCCACACCCGGAGGGTCCTGTCGTCGCTGACAGACGCCAGACGCTCCCCCTCCTTGTCAAAGGCCACGGCCCAGACGGTGGAGTCGTGTCCCTCCAGGGTGGCACAGCACACCCAGTCGTCCTCCTCCTCCCGGTACAGACGCACCGTGTCGTCGTAGCTGGCAGAGGCCAGGAGCTGGGGAGGCAGGTGGGGGGGCAAAGTGACCCTAAATCACTCTGGATGGGACCACAGGAGGGGCTGGAAGGGGGCGGGGGGAGACAGGATAGGACCGGGGGGACTCTGGGAAGTCCCCCCTCTCACCTCCTGGCTCGGGTGCCACACCACATGTTTCACGTCCTGTGTGTGAGCATTGAGGACACTCACACACTCATATTCCTCCTCCTCATCCACTGTGGGGGGACAGAGTGGTCAGGGGGGGTCTGGCTGAGCCCCCGAACACCTCCCCCCAGTCTTTCCCAGCCCCCCCCAGCCCCTCCTCACCTTCCCACACCCAGACACTCTTGTCTCGGCTGCACGTGGCCAACAGGGACCCTGAGGGTGCCCAGGCCACTGACTTCACCTCATTCTCGTGCCCCTCGAGGGTGGCCACGCACTGCAGGGGGACAGTAAAGGCTGGGACAGGTTGGAGGGCCCCAGGGGGGATGGGGGGATTCTGAGGGGGTGGTCTCACCTCAAATCCATCCTCCTGCCGCTTCCAGACACAGGTGGTGCCATCGAAGCTGGCAGAAGCCAGGTAGGAGCCACAGGGGGACCAGGCGACCCTGCGCACGGTGCGCTGGTGCCCGTCCCCCAGCACCGCTCGGCATGTCCAGCTGGAGCCTGGGGGGGTGGGATAGGGTCCATGGACACGGGACACGCTCCGGCCACACCCAGATCCACACCCAGCACTGCCCCGACCACACCCCAGCCATACCCAGCACTGCCTGGCACGTGGAATGGGACCCCATGGGCACAGGCCACGCCCCTGCCACCCCAGCCCCGCCCCAGTCACCCCCAGCCTCACCCAGCCCAGGATGGGACCACCCGAACACGGGACACGCCCCCGACCAAGCCACGCCCACACAAGATGATAACCCCGCCCACATGAACTGCTAACCCCGCCCCTCGCCACAGCTCCGCCCCCATCCGCGATGTAGCCCCGCCCCCACAACCCATCCAAACCCTCTAACTCCGCCCCCAGTAAAGCCACGCCCACAGCGAGCCCGTAACCCCGTCCCCCCTCACAGCCCCCCTTTCCCCCCTGCTGCTCCTCCGCACCCGCACGGCCCCGCACGGCCCGGTCCCCCCGTACCCGCCCAGCCCCGGTCCTTCCTCCCCCTGCCAGCCCCGCACGCTCCGCTCTCCCCCACACCGGCCCGGTCCCGCCCGGCCCGTTGCCCCGTACCCGCCCGTCCCCACACGCGCACGGCGCGGTCGCCCCCGCAGGACGCGAGCAGGGCCCCGCCGGGGCTCCAGGCCAGGGCCCAGCAGCGGGACTCGGGGTGCGCGGGGACTCGGCACAGCAGCGACAGCGCTTCGGGCATCGCGGGGACAGCGCGGAAACGGAAACGGCCGCGCCGGAACTAGGGCGGGGACGGGAACGGGCAGGGCCGGGAACCGGGAAGGGGGGACGCGAACGGGGCGTCCGGAGCCGCTGCCGAGGGGCCGAGCCGGTATCGGGGGGTCCGGGGCTGCTGCGGGGACCCCGGGCCGGTGTCGGGTGATCCAGGGCCGGTGTCAGGGGCCCGGGTCCGGTATCGGGGACGCGGAGCCGCTGTTGTGGGACCGGAGCCGCTGCCGGTGGTCCCGGGCTCGCCGCCGAGTGTCCCGGAGCCACTGCCGGGGGTCGAGAGCGGGGGTCGGGGGTCCCGTTCCCGGTGTCCCCGGTGCCCGCGGCCCCAGTGCCGGTGCTGCCGGTGCCGGTGTCGGCGGTGCCCCCGGTGCCGGTGCCCGCCGCGATGTACGCGCCGGGCGGGCCGGCGGGGCCGGGCGGGAGGCGGCGGCGGGGCGCGGCGGGGCTGCCGAAGCAGCCGGAGCGGAGCTTGGCGTCGGCGCTGCCCGGGGCTCTGTCCATCACCGCGCTCTGCACCGCCCTGGCTGAGCCCGCCTGGCTCCGCATCCACGGCGGCACCTGCTCCCGCCAGGAGCTGGGGGTGGCCGATGTACTGGGCTATGTGAACCCCGAGCTGCTCCGAGGTGAGACCCCTTTGGCCCCTTCCATCCCTTCAGTCCTTTGTCCCCTGCCATCCTCTTCACCCCATTCTGTCCTGCTTCCATCCTTCTTCCATCCCTCTCTGTCCCCCCTCCATCTCACCTTCCGTTCTCCTCCATCCCCTTCCCTCCCCTCTCCTTTCAACCCCTCTGTCCCCCTTCCATCCCTCTCCACCCCCTCCATCCCTTTCCGTCTCTCTCTGACCCCCCTACATCCCCCTCCAAGTCCTCCCGTTCCCTTCCACCAACACCCACGGCCCCACTGTACAAATTCAGCTCCAGATATAAAATCCTGGAATGGTTCGGGTTGGAAGGGGGTATAACTCTATGGATATAACTCCACAGGCAGCTGCACACCTGCCTGTTTTCCTGCTTTTGGTTAACTGTGGCCCTTGGAGAGGCCCCTTCCCACCTATTTTTCCAGCATTACTCACCCTCCTCAGGCACGGATGGAACTGGAGACTCATTCCCAGCATGTCTCACACTGGCACGTGTTCATTAGCACTAATTAACATGATATTTAAATGAATATTTGGATGAATTTATTAAAATTTGTGATGGTGTGGGGGAGTGGCAGTGTTACAGCCCCTTTCCCTGTCATGGATCTTGTGGAATCTGGAGGGTTCTGATTTTAATCCTCAAGGATTCGGGTGAGATTGGAGCAGGGGGAAATTTGGGTGGAAAAGAGGGTTTTTTGGGTGCTCACCTCCGTCCCTCTCTCCCAGACTATTGCATGAACCCGCAGACGGTGCTGCTGCTCCGGGTCATTGCTGCCTTCTGCTTCCTGGGAATCCTGTGCAGCCTCTCGGCCTTTCTGCTCGACGTGTTCGGCCCCAAACACCCGGCGCTGAAAATCACCCGGCGCTACGCCTTCGCCCACATCCTGACAGGTACGGCCGGGAATTCTGCAGAAAAATCCTCACAGGTACAGCCAGGGAATTCCAACCGGGAATTCCTGCAGGGAAAGCCTCACATTTTTTGTAGATTTCTGGCTGGGTTTTGGGTGTTTGTCACCACATTTCACCCCGAGCTCTGCCCTTGCCCACATCCCTGTTCATCGCAAACCACTCTGTGACTGATTTTTCTCCCATTTCTCCCCATTTTCCTTGTCCCTCCCAGTCCTGCAATGTGCCACCGTCATCGGGTTCTGCTACTGGGCGTCGGAGCTGATCCTGGCGCAGCAGCAGCAGCACAAGAAGTACCACGGCTCCCAGGTCTACGTCATCTTCGCCGTCAGCTTCTACCTGGTGGCGGGGGCGGGGGGGGCCTCGATCCTGGCCACGGCCGCCAACCTGCTCCGGCATTATCCCACCGAGGAGGAGGAGCAGGCGCTGGAGCTGCTCTCGGAGATGGAGGAGAACGAGCCCTACCCGGCCGAGTACGAGGTGATCAACCAGTTCCAGCCTCCGCCGGCCTACACCCCCTGATCCCGCCTGGAATGTCCCTCCGGCCCCACTCCCACCTCCTGTGGCTCCCGGGGCTCTCCACAAGAGGTTTTTGGGGCGGATTGGTGGCATTTGATTCCCGGCCTTGGGTTTGTGGCTCCGCGGCGACATTTGGACTCAGCCTCGTTTCCCCCACATGGCTCCTCCTGGGAATGGGGCATCCATGTTTCCCCTGGGAATAAGGGATCCACAATCCTGGGAATGAGGGATCCACAATTCTCCTGGGAATGAGAGGTTTGGGATCCACAGTTCTTCTTGGAATGGGGGGTGTGGGGTCCACATTCCCACGTCAGAGCTCGTTCCCTCCTCCTCCAAGGCCCCCAAGGCCTGGACACGAGTGGATATATTTATATATATTTATATATATTTATATCAGGGAAGCTCCCACCACATTCCCAGGGCAGGGATGGCCCATCCTGCACGGCAGGAGGTGGAAATTCCCACTCCCGGCTCTCCCTGCACCTCTCTTCTCACTACACGGACATTCTGCACTTTATTCCAAGGTCTGGGAAGGACTGGGACAGTTTTGGGGCCTCTGGCACAGCACGGGGAGGAAAACTCTGGGGGTTTTTGGGATCATCTGACTCCTGCCGGTAAAATTTTGGGATTTTTAGCCAAAATAACCCCAGACTTTGGCCCAGCCACAGCTCCTGGGAAGCAGGAGCCCACGCTGGAAAAATCCTGGAGCTTTTATGCAAATCCCTCCACGCCGCCCCCACTCTCCTGCTTTTTCCTCCCAAATTCTGTTTTTCCCTCCTGCTCTTGGTTCCTTGCCCCCTTTTCCCTCTTCAGTCCCTGGGATGCTCCATCCAGGAGCAGACACTTTCCCTGGATGGTGCTGGAGCACCAGGAGAAGCTGATCCAGCATTTCCCATCCCAGAGGAGGAATCCAGCAGATTTTGGGGCTGTTTAAGGCAAATAATAAGGAAAAAACCCATGGGATTCATCGACCAGCACCGAAAATCCCACCAGGGAATCATGGAATGGTTTGGCTTGGAAGGGCCTGAAAGACGATCCAGGAAAGCCCCAGGCTGGCTCCAGGAAGAAGCTTTAGGCCTGGAAAATGGCTTGGTTTAGGTTTTCCACCGTTCCCCCAACGCTTTTATCCCTGTTTTCCTGCTTTCTTGCCCCCCCACCCCCATCCCTTTTTCCCCCCTGCCCCTGGCTATGCAAGAGCCTCGGTCGCTCTCCGGGTGGAATCCGGAATCTGGAAAACTCATCCTGGGAAAAGCCCTTCCCGAGCCCTGGGAGGCTCCAAGGAGCCAAATCAACACTAAAACCCCTTTGGGGGGATCCTGGGAATGGGGGGTCAGGGGCTCCCAAAGGGAACATCCCGCAGCTGGGAAAGGCTTTGGGATTCCCTGGATATGCAAGAGGGGGGTTGGGTGTAAATAGTCTGAGCTTAAACGTTCTGAATTTGGGTAAAAAAAGACCCCAAAATGGGACATGATGTTGTTTCCTGTAGAGCTCGGGGGAAAGGGGGGAAGGTTAGGGTTTGGAAATGTTGGGATGTGGGAGCCGCGGGATTTGGGGCTCCAGGGGGAATAAAGGGGTGCAAAGAGCTGTGTGTGGAGCTCCTGCTTTGGGCTGGGGAAGGGGGGCCTTGTGCTGTCCCCGCAAAACATCCCGGACTGGGCCCTTCTGGGCAGGGACCAGGGGCCAGCCCTGCCACCCATAACCTCCCACTGACTCCCAAACCCCGCCTTGCCCCAGCCTCATTGCCCCTCCCCGGACCCCCCTGACCCCTTCCCGCCGGCCCCCGATACCCATCCATTGCTATAATCCTGTAATCCTCCATTCCCCCCCAAAGTCCCCCTTGCCCATCCCATAACTCCTCAAAATCCCCCTTACTCCCCAATAGCCCCCTTACCCCCCTATTACCCTCCAAAATCCCCCTTGCCCCCCAATTCCCCTCCCGCCCCGCTGGGGGCGTGTCCCTTCTACAGACCCCGCCCCATCCCCAACTGACCTCCCACAAGCTCCGCCCAATCCCGCATCCCAAGCTCTGCCCTCGCCCTCCGGGTGGGCGTGGCCGCCCGTCCCACACGGCCCAATGAGCGCGGGGGGCGGTGCGGTCGCAGCCAATGGGTTGTGCGGCGCGGGGCGATGACGTTGCCCCGGGGGCGACGGGCCGTTCCGGCGGCATGTGGAGGGCGCTCGGCGCCCGCGCCGCGCGGAGCCCCCGCGGAGGGACCCCCGGGACCCCCCGAGCAGGGACCCCCGCAGGGACTCCCCGGGCCGCCCCCGCCGCGCTGTTGGCCCGCCAGTGCAGCTGCGTGACGGTGCACGGGGCGCGGCGGGCTCGGCGGGCCTGGCCCCGCGGGCACGGGGAGGGGACGGCGGCGGAGGGAGGAGGAGGAGGAGGATCAGGATCGGGATCGGGATCGGGCTGGGGGGGGTGGTGGCGGGGAGCGCTCCGCGGCCGCCCCGCCCTCGCCGGCCCCGGGCGCCTGATGGCCGCGCTCGCCGGGGTGTTCGTGTGGGACGGGCGGCGCATCGAGGAGGAGGAGCTGCGGCGGTGCGTGAGCGGGGAGACACCGGGAGCGGGATACGGGGAACAGGGCACCGGGACACCGGGGACGAGGAATGGGACACCCCCGGGAAGGGGTCACCGGGAACGGGGACATTGGGAATGGGGCACCCTCGGGAACGGGGCCCTGGGGTTGGGACACTGGGAACGGGACCCCCAAGTCCCCGGGATACCCCCACCGTGGGACACCCAGGACAGGGACACCCCCCCCCACCTCCACTGGGGCCTCCAGGTCCCCCAGCGCCCTCTCCCCTTCCTTAGATCCTGGGTACCCCCAAATCCTCAGGGTTCCCCCCGATTTCCTGGGATGGGAGTGCCCATCCCGTGTTGATCTGGGGGTGCCCCCCTAAATTTGGGGGTGCCCTGCAAAAATTTGCCCTGGAAGGTACACCCTTCCTTTTTTGGGGTGCTGGGGGGCACTGTTCCCTAAATCCTCTCCATCTGGGGTATTCCCCAATTCGGACCTTAGAGTGCCCCAATTCTGATCTCGGGGTACCCCCCTGTCCCCCCAAATCCCTCCCCAAAATTCCTGAGGGGGTTGTTGGGGTGTCCCCTCCACCCGCCCCAAACTTTGGGATGCTGCCTGGGGGTGGTGTCATTGGGAATTCTCCCCATGGAAAAAGGGGTTCTCCACTCCATTGCTGGGGACCCTCCAAACCCATCCCTGTGCCCAAAGGGGGGGGTGAGACACCCAAATCTCACGGGATGGAGGTAGAAGGGCCTCCCCCCCACCAGCAGCTCTTGGAGTGTCCTTGGAATCTCGAGGCTTCCTTAGGGATTAATTCCCTTAATTACCCCATGACTCAGCAGGGGGTAATTAACCCTTTATGGGAATCTTGGGATCTGAAATTCCACCTCCAGGTTCCTCATCCCACAGGGATTCATCACCCAGAGTTTGAGAAGCACCTCATTTAAGGCTTAATTAACCCTGGAGTTAATGAGGAATCCCCCCCCCCCTCCTGGCACCTCTGGAGATTTTAGGGAGATTCCCAGCTGGGAAAAAGCCCCAAATCCCAATTTCATTCCCCAAAAAGGAGCCTTTGGGATTGAGGATAAACCCTGGGGAGTTTTCCAGTGGCTCAGCAGGGCTGGGTTTAGTCCTGGGATTAAAACCAGGCGGGATTTCCTTGCTCAAGGTCAGGTCTTGAGCCTCCTCAACTGGATTTGAGGATTCCAAATCCTCTTCCTGAGACTTTTCCCAGGCACAGGAACGTTCCCTGGGATTCTTCTTCGTTTTTCCTTTCTCCTCATTCCATTTATTTCCTCTCCATCTCCAACCTAATTCTGGGAGCAGCAAAGCCCCCAGTGGGATCTTGGCTGGAATTCTGGGAGCTCTTGGCAGGCAGGAATTTCCTTCCCCTCTTCCACATCCAACATTTTTGGCTGGACAGGTGGGAATGAGCCTCACACAGGCCCTAAAATGATCCCAGGAATCCATGAACAGGTGAAATCCTTACAGAGAATCCCTTTTTCCTCATGGGCTGAGTCACCTCCCGGGGTTTCAGTCGACTCCCAGTTTTCCTTCCTGCTCATTTCACTTCAGGAAAGGCTTGTTTTTCCTTGGGAAAAGTAGAATTCCTGGCTGGAAGGTGCCATGGGGGGATCACACGTGTCCCACTTGGACACGTGGAGCTGGACAGGGGCCAGGGAAGCGGCTCCAGTGTCCCCTTGGTGTCCCCTTGTCTGGAGGCTCCTGGGATCGGGCTGTGCCGGATGGAGCCACTGCCAAGGTTGGGAACCACATCCCTAATTCAGTAATTCATGGGATTTGGGAATGACAGGAGCAGGTTCGGGGGTCTGGGCTTTGGGATGCTCCGGTTCTGTGTCCCCTCCTCAGGGAGCCAGGAATCTTGGACTGGGAGGGGAGCAGGGCGGGCACAGCCTCATTCCAAAGGGATAAATCCCGTGGTTGTGGTTTTCCTGGCCGGGCAGGATGGATTTGGAGAAGCAGGAGCACTTTGCTCCTTGTCCCAGTTGGATCCCATCCCACCCCCCTGGGGATCATTCTCGGCTCCCTGTCCCTGGATCCCATGTCCAGTGGCTCACCTGGTGGTTGGGAATGCTGCTGATCCCATGGATGGACAGGGCTGGGGCTGGAATGGCTCATCCCGGGACGGGAAGGGCAGGATGGAGGGGTTGGGGTTGTGGAAGAGCCTCAGTCCCAAAGGGAATACCTGCAGAAAACAGGCTTGTGGATCCAGTTGATGCTGTGGAGCTTTGGGATCTGCCTGGAGATCTGGGAAGGGAGTGGTTCCAAGGAATGGGAACACGAGCTCGGCCGGTCCCAGGTCGTTAATTCCAGCTCTGTTCATTAATTACCTGCATTAATTAGTGCCTCTGAAAGCACCCCGGGATCCTCCTCCCTCCTTCCTTGGCATTCCCAGGGGCTTTGGGGGTGGATGAACCAGCCTTCCCTCTCCAGGGCTGTTTTTGGGAGCTTAGGCCATATTCAGAGGGGTTATCCCAGTGGGGGGGGGGGGTTCCAGGCTTTTTTCCGCTGGATTTTTGGGAATTGGGATCCAAATCCAGCTCCAGTTTCTGTTGGCTGAGGAGGCTGAAACTGGGGGTTGATCCAGGGCTTTTCCAGCTCCTTTCCTCCTGTGACTGCCATTTCCTGCTCCAGCTGCTGTTGGAGATTCCCTTCTTCCCCCTCTCCCACCCCCTGGAACAGCAGGAACCCCATCCCTGCTTCCTTTTCCCCCCAAATCCCAATCCTCTGCATGGCTTGGGAACGATTTGCAGCATCTCACATCTGGGATGTGAGCAGCTCCACGGGGAATTTTGGTGCCTCCAAATCCTGCTTTTCCTTAAATCCATCTCCCATCCCATTCCATCCTGCTCAGCTTTGATCCAGCCAGGAAAACAAATCCTGCTCTGCACCCCCTGAGGGTTATTTTCCCTTAGAGAAAGGCTGGTATTTCCAAAAACTAGAGTTCCAGCAGAGGAAAAGTGGGAAGAGGGATGAGAGGACACGTTTTCCATTCCCAGGCAGCTCTTCCCAAAGCAAATAATAATAAAAAAAAGGAATTTCCAAGCCCAGGCAGCTTTTTCCACACGAAGAAATGGGATTTCCCCAAAAAATGGGATTTTCAAGCCCAGGCAGCTCTTCCCACCCCAAAACCTGGGATTTCCATGCCATTCCCACACCCAAACTCAGTTCCCTGCCCCTCTCCCTGAGTCCTGGGGTGTTTTCCGAGCCCGGGGGGCTCCCGGCCGCTCCGAGGGGCCCATTCCTGACTCCTGGTGGGATTTGTTCCGGCAGCTCCGCGCAGGAGATGAAGCACATGGAGAACCTGTCCAGCCTGGCCCAGGGCAGTGGCCCCATGGAATTCCAGCCCTCGGAGCGGGAGCAGCCCTGGGAGCTCATCATGGACAAGAAGCACTTCAGGCTGTGGCGGAGGCCGATCCAGGGATCCCACCTGTACCAGTACCGAGGTATCCATGGGCTTTTCCATGGCCCAGGTCCCCTGGGATTGGGCCTCACTCATCCCTGTCCTCAGGAAAAACAGGAATTACCATCCTTTACACCCATCCCTGCTGCTCCATCCCACTTTATTCTTCCAGAGGGCCTTAAAACTCCCCTTTCCCTCCTAACCCTGCCCTGGGATCAGGAGTTGCTCATTGCCAATCCTTTCCTGGGATCAGGAGTTCTCATTCCAGGCTCTGTTTTCCAGTGTTTGGATCCTACACGGATGTGACTCCTAGGCAGTTCTTCAATGTCCAGGTGAGCAGCACCTTTGGAATCACTTCAGGGGGTGGGATGGAGCTCCAGGAGCCTCTTCCAGAGGATGGGATGGGGGAACTGGGAATATTCCCTTCCCTTTGTACCATTTGCACGATCCAGAGCCGATCCCAGTGGATTATCCTGTTCTCCAGGTGGGTTTTGCTGCTGGAAGTGAAGGATTGGGCTGCAGGATCCCAGTGGATTCCTGATCCCAAGTCCCTCTCTCCCAACTTCCAGAATATTCCAGGATATTAATAATTCCCTGCCTGCCCATGACACTGAATGTTCCCACAGGAGACAGGGAAAAAAAAAAAGGGATATTTCCCTCCCTTCATCCCCCTCTGCTGGAATTTCCGCTGACTCAGCTTCTGTCCCTTCCCAGCTGGACACGGAATATCGGAAGAAATGGGATTCCCTGGTGATCAAACTGGATGTGATCGAGCGGGACGTGGCCACGGGCTCCGAGGTGATTCACTGGGTCACCCACTTCCCGGTGAGTCCCCGCCCATCCCGGGATCTGCCCTGGGCAGGGCCGGGAGCGGGGGCTGATCCCAATCCCGGGGCCCTTCCTGCAGTATCCCATGTATTCCCGGGATTACGTCTACGTCCGGCGCTACAACGTGGACAAGGAGAACAACCTGATGGTGCTGGTGTCGAGGTGGGTGTTCCTGGAGGGAATTCCCACCATTCCCATCCCTAAAGATCCACGGGGAGCTGGGTATAAACTTAACTGACTTTACTGACCCCCATCGATCCCGCCGAGATTCATTTGGGAAATAAAACAACTGTTTTTTGGGGGGAAAATGTCGGTTTTTTACCCCCCACCTCCAAAAAACTGGTGGATTCTGGGTGTAATTGGCACCCTGAGCTCACCTTGGGATGCTCCTCCTCCTCCCAGGGCTGTGGAGCATCCCAGCGTTCCCGAGGATCCCGAGTACGTCCGGGTGAGGACCTACGAGTCCCAGATGGTGATCCGACCCCACAAAACCTTTGATGAGGTAAATCTGGGAAAGGGGGCGGAAAACCTGGCGTGGGGAGGATCCTCCTGCTGCTCCAGAGGGATCTGCTCCTTCTCCTGCCCTGGGAGCTGGGCAATAATCCAAACATTGGGAAAGTCCAGCCGTAGGGGTTGAATTTGATGATCTTTAAGGTCTCTTCCAGCCCAAACCATTCCATGATTTATGGGAGGAGGGCGAATTATTTTTCCAAAGGCAAGGAAAGCATATGCATGTGTGGCTTGGGAAGGATTTGCAGCTCTATCTCACTATCCTGGGACTTTTCCTTCAGGAATTTGGTGCTCTTGAGGGAGCCAAACACTCCCTTTCAGAGCTCCCTTTACGAAGCCACGAGCCTCCCAAGTCTCATTCCAAGCACTAAATCCTCTTGGAAAAAGGTTTATGGGTTATTTCCAGGCCGTCCAGAGCATGGGTAGAGCTTGGAATACTCAGGGAATGCCACCTCCTCCTCCCAAATTCCCTCCTGGTGGGATTTCCTTGGGTCTTTTGTCAATGCTCTCAGAGGCTCTGGCAGCTTTTCCTGTGGGATATGAGCAGCTCCACAGGGAATTCCTTGGGGGAGGTGGGAGCGGCTCCAGCGGGGGTTTGAGATGGGCTGGGGATCCCAGGAATGTTTGTCCCCCCAGAATGGGTTCGATTACCTGCTCACCTACAGTGACAACCCCCAGACCGTGTTCCCGCGCTACTGCGTCAGCTGGATGGTCTCCAGCGGTGAGTGCCCGGAATTCCCTCGGGATCCTCCCTCCACAGGGGCCCCCTTCCCTTCCCGCTCCAGAGCAGGGAGGGGGATACATGGAGAGGCTTAAAAAGTGACATTATGGGGGGAAAAATGGGGAAGGACCAAAAAGAAAAATTGGGAGGGATAGGAAGAATCAGGAGGGAAAGGAAAAGTTTGGAGGGAAAAGAAAAATTGTGAAGGAAAGGGAAAATCAGGAGGGAAAGGAAGAACTGGGAAGAAGAAGAACCTGGGGGGGAAAGGAAAAACTGGGAGGGAAAAGGAAAAATTGGGAAGGACAAGAATCAGGAGGGAAAGGAAAAATTAGGAGGGAAAAACAAGGAGAGAAAGGGAAAATCAGGAGGGAGAAGAACGAGGTGAGCTGGGAACGGAGCTGGAGGAGGGGATGGATTGGGAGCCTCTTCCCTCAGCAATCCTGGATCCCAGTGGGCTCTCCCTCCCCCTTTTCCCAGGAATGCCGGATTTCCTGGAGAAACTGCACTCGGCGGCCCTGAAGGCCAAGAAGATGGAGCTGGAGGTCCGGGATTACCTTTCCAAGGGCTCAGACACGGCCCCGGAGCCCTGTGGCCCCGCCCAGCTGGAATATGCCTGAGGCGCTGGAATTCTGGGAATTGCCTCGGACAGGGACCTGTGCTGTGGGATTTCAGCCCCATTTTCCCTCCCCATCCCATTCCCGATGCTCAAGGACAGGGATTTGTTCCCCCTGCTGCGTGTCTGTGGTGGAATCTGCGTCTCCTGGTCGATGTTTCCTCATCCTAACAGGGAAAACCCATGGAATTCCCACTTCTTCTGGCAGTGGGTTCTCCCCACTCCTCATCCCTGCTCAGACTGGAATGTTTTCGGGATGCGGTGGCACCACAGGGATTGGTGATGGTGCTCCACGTCACCATTTCCACGGGGTTTTCCCCCCAGAAACAGCCCTTTGAACTCATCCCTTTGGGATTTCTGGGACTGGGAGTTGGGATTACTGGGATGGGGGTTGGGATTTCTGGGAAGGGGTGTTTGAACTGGTGAAACTGGGGAAAAAAAGGCAGTTTTGGGGGGGTTTTAGGGATTGGGGGGCACTGGTGCTGCCCTGGGTCACCCTGAGCCCCCTCCCCAGTTTGGGGGGTCTCCGTCGGCCTTGGGAATCTGGGAAAACAGGAGGAGCAGAAAACTACTTAATAAACATCTAGGATCTTCATTAGCTCCTAATTGACGACCCCCCTTCTCCCAGTCACCAGTTTGGGGGGGTTTGGGCCCCCCTTTAATCATCGCTCTAAATTCTCACTTTATAATAAATTTATCCTAATTTTATCACTCCCTTTGGAGTATCCAATTTTCACCTTCCCTCCTTCCCAAAATTCAGCCCCCCAGCCCAATTAGCACCAATAGTTAATGAGGAAAACTTCAGGAGAGGGAACCATCTCCCTCACACCTGGAATTTTGGGGGAGTTTCCAGTGGGTCTAATTTTTTTTTGGGGGGGGGTGTTTCCAGTGGATCCCACCTCCCCATAGACTGGAATTCTGGGGATGGGGGGGTCCACTGGGTTCCACACCCCTCCCCCCCATTCTCCAGCATGGAATTTTGGGGAGGTTTCCCGCTATTTTGGAGGGAGTGGGGGGTTGGTGCTGTGGGTTTCACACCCCTACCCCCCCCCCCGATGAAGCAGCACTGGTGGGAAGGGGGGGGTTCCCAGGGTTCCCAAATCCCACCCTGACCCTCCCCCTCAGGAATTTTGGGATCTGGGAATGCCAGCGGTGGGACACACCTTTATTGCACACAGAGAGCAGCAGGCAGCAGGTGCAGGGGGGAGGCTGGGGGTCCTGGGGGGGGGAGTTACAACCCCTCAGCCCCCCCAGCCCCCTTTTTGGGAGGGGGAAAGGGGTGTTTTCCCTGAGTTTCCCCATCCTGAATCCCCCCAGGGTGGCTCAAACTGGGGGGGCCCCAAGGAACCTCGTACCGGGACCCCCCAAAGAACCTCGTACCGAGGGGTCCTGGGGGTGGCTCCCCGGTGGGATCCTGTCCCTTGGGGTCCCCCCAGGGGGTCACAGCAGGTTCTTGTTGCGCTTGGGGACGATTTTCCTCACGGTCCTTCGCTCCGAGATGTTCCTCCGGACACGGACGGTGGGGCCCGGGGGGGGCTCAGGGGCCAGTGAGGGGCTCGAGTGGGCCTTGGTCAGAGTGGGGGGGTCTGGGGGGGCCCCCCCTGCCTGCGCCTCCCACCCCTCCAGGTCCCGGGCGCCCGAGTTCAGCCACGTCTCCAGCACCTGCACGTAGGTCTCGTAGCGCCGGCGCTGGGGGGACGAGGGGGTCACGGACGGGTCACCCCCCCGGTCACCACCCCTGTCCCCTGTGTCCCCTCCTGTCCCCAGGGTCTCTCTGTTCCATAGCAGTGTCCATCCCATGGGAGAAATAAGGATGGGAATGAGCCACCATCACGGGGACATTCCTGGTGTTCCCAGTGTCCCCCCTGTCCCACAGTGCTACCTAGACCACCAGGAAGATAAGGATGGAGATGAGCCATTGCCATGGGGCCGTTCCTGGTGTCCTCCATGGAGAACAAAAGGATTAAAATAAGAAACCACCCTGGGGACCTCCCCAGTGTCCCTGATGTGTCCGGTGTCCTGGTGTTCCCCCTGCCTTGGGTGTCCCCATGTCCCCACCCACCTCCTCCAGCAGGAATTCCTTCTTGACCCGATACTCGTCCAGGTCCCGGGCGCGGCCCCGGCCCTCGGGGAGGTGCCTCTGGTGCTCCAGGAGCTCCTGCCCCACCCGCTCCAGCCACTGCTCGTGGCACCGCAGCTGCTCCTCCTGGGGGGAGACCAGGGCTGACCCCCACCCACCCACCCGGGGGGCTCGGGGGGGACTGATGGGCACCCAGGGGTGTCTCCACCCACCCAGGGGCCTTGGGGGTCTCACCATGGGCTGTGGGGAGGATGGAGCTGGTTGGGCACCCAGGGGTGAACCCTCCTACTCAGGGGGCTTGGAAGGGTCTCACTCGGGGGCTTCAGCTGGGGGTGATGGGCACCCAGGGGTGTCACCCCTATTTGGGGGTCCCAGGGGTCTTACTGGGGGGCTCCTGCTGGGGGCCGTGGGCAGGATGGGCCTCACGAAGCGTCGCTGGGACCCCACGGCCGCTGGGAACGGAGGGGAGGAGAACAGGGCGGCCACGAGATTGATCCGGGAAATCCAGGACAGCATCTCCTCGGGGGTGCTGGATCGTGACATCACCAGTGACGTCACCAGTGCTGTCACACCCTGCAGGGACCCCCTGCCGTGACCCCCTTTTTTCCCCCCCCAGGTCACTCACGGCGCCTGGAACAGGAACAGCCTCCGCTCGGCCGTTTGCAGCCGGAACACGTTGGGCCGCTTGGTGTATTTGGGGGCCCTCTCAGCCAGGGCATGATGGACCCCCAGGGGCTCCTCGGCCCCCCCACCCTCCTCTGGGGGGGCCCCGGGGGGCCCCGGTTCTGAGGGGCGTCGGGAGACCCCCCGGGCCCCCCCCCCAGCCTTGAGGAAGAACAGGAAGGTCCCGCGGAGAACGGCTTGGAAGGGCTTCCAGCCCCGGCGGCCCCAGGGAGCTGGAACGGTGAGATGGGGGTGGGACACAAAGGACACCCCAAAAATACCCCCCTACAGTGAGACACTGCCCCGGTGCAGTGGAGCCTGAAATGGGCCCCCCCAGGTCACAGTGGAGCTCAAACGGTCCCACATCTGTGTCCCACCCCCAAAGCTGCATCCAGAGATCCCAACGCACCCCAAAGTCACCCTCTGGGACCCTAAAGAGGAAGAGACAGCCCAAATATGCCCCCCCACCAACTCCAAACCACCCCAGATCTACCCCCCACAAGCCTGACCCAATGGATCCCAAATCTACCCTACAACACCCCAGCTCTGCTCCCCTGGATCCCCAAAATCCCAAATCTGCCCCTCCAGATCCAAACGCCCCCCAAATCTTCTCCCCTGAGCCCCAAAACCACCCCAGATCTGCCTCCCTGCACCCCCTAACCCACCCCAAATCCTTCCCCCTGTACCCCAAGCCCCCCAAATCCCCCCAGACTCACTTTTCTTGCCATCAGCCTCTGCCAGGACCTTCCTGGCCAACCACCCCCTGCGGAAGGTCACGGCCCCCCCTGGCAGCTCTGGGATTTGGGGGAGGATCTTCTTCCCTCCCCCGGCCTCTTCCTCCTCCTCCTCCTCCTCCCTGTGGGACGTTCAGGATCACAGGAAGCCCCCCCCAGCCCCCAAATCCCCCCCAAGCTCCCCCCACTCACGTCGCCCACTCCAGCTTCTTGCTGCGGATGGAGCCATAAAGAGCCTGGGGGGGGGAAATTCGGGGGGTCAGGGGGTGTGGGGGGGGCTTGAGGGGGTTCAGGGGAGGGAACCCCCTTTTTCAGCCTCAGGCCCCCCCCAGAATACCTTGAGCTGCTCCCTGGGAAAGTCCTGCCCGTCGTTCATCCCGCTGAGGTTGGACACGAACTCGGAGCTGGTCATGGCCCGGCGCAGGTGCTGGGGGGGCAAATTTGGGGGTGTTGCGAGCTGGGGGGGCACAGTTGGAGGGCGGGGGCCCCAAATCCAGCCCAGAAATTGGGGAGACCGCAAATCTGCCCCCTGCCCAGGTCCAAAACAACTCCAATCTGTCCCACTGGGGCCGCCAAAACCTCCAATCTGCCCCCAAAATGTCTCAAATGTGCCCTCCCAGATCCCAACACACCCCAAATCTGCCCCTGCACCCACCAAACCCCCAATCCACCCCCTGGGCCCCCCCAAAATTCCCCATCTGCCCCAAGCCATTCCCCAAACCCCTTGCCCCTCACACTCCCATATCCCCCACAGTCCCCCCCGAAAAAGGCAGGGTGTAGATTTTGGGGGGTTTTGGAGTCCCCCTCCGTGCTCACCTGCCCGTGCAGGTCCGTGTTCAGCAGCATCAGGGCACAGGTGAGGGAGTGAACCGAGTCTGGGGGGTTGGGGGTGTCACATGGGGGTTCTACCACCCCACCAGGTGAGGGGACCCGCCCCCTGAACCCCAAAAGGTGCAGCTGGGGGGGCCCCGGGGGGCTGGGAGGGGGTGTGGGTGAGTGGGGAAACTGAGGCACAGAGGGAGGTGAAGGAGCTTTGTGGGGATGTGGGGATGGTTTGGGGGGCTGAGGGGGATTTGAGGGGGCTGGAGGGTGTGAGGAGACCCCCCCCCAGTAAGGGCACCCACCCCCTGAACCCCAAAAGGTGCAGCTGGGGGGGGCCTTGTAGCCCTGGGAGGGGCTGGGTGGGGAAACTGAGGCACGGGGGGGGTTAGGGGGCATTAACCAGCTCTAGGGGTCCCCGGGGGGTGTTTGGGGTCTGGGGTCTCACCGGGGGACGGGAAGGCCCCGGGGTTGCAGTGGTGGAAGCGCCGGGAGAAGTGGCCCAGGACCCGCTCCCGCTCCTGCGTCTCCCCCGACAGCACCAGGGCCTGCAGGAACGACCTGGGGGAACCCCGGGCTGGGGGACCCCAAAAACACCCCCCAGGGGCACCACCGGGGGGGACCCCAAAAATACCCCCCCAGGGACATCTCCAGCATGGGGGACCCCAAAACCACATCCCCTTGGGTGTGTTTCTGCCTGCTTGGATCCCAAATCTGCCCCCTGAACCCCAAATCGGCCCCCCTGGACCCCAAATCTATCCCCCCGGATCCCTCATCACCCCAAATCTTCCCCCCCCCAGACCCCACCATTCCCCAAACCACCCCACATCTCCTTTCTTCACGTCCCCCAACCCCACATCCCTCCCACCCCCCCATCGATTTCGGGGTGTCCCTTTGCCCCCCCAAAGCCCCACCCAGCCCCCTCCCATCCCAACCTGAGCGCCTGGTCCAGCGTCTGCCCCCGGAACTGGAAGAATTCCAGGTATTCCTGGGCCACCATCGTGCTGAAATCATTGCTGGGGGGGGCACACGAGTTTGGGGGGGTGGGATTGGAGCCCAGAGGACCCCCAAAAGGGGGAGGGGACCCCCCAAATCCTTACTTTTTGCGGAGGAACGAGGCCACCTGGGATTTCCGGACACCCTCCAGGTGGAACAGGCGGGAGGCCAAACGTTGGGCCTCCCCCCGCCCCGGCTGGGACCCCCCCCCGGGGGGCTCCACCGGCCCCCCTAAAGGGGATCTGGGGGGGAAGGAGGGGTCAGGAAGGGCCGGGGGTGGAGGGACCCCAAAACCCTGCCTGGGTGGGGAGGAGGGGGTGTGGGAGGGAATAGGGGAGGACTGGGGGGGCATGGGGGGCTCGAGGGGGTGAGGGGGAGTCTGGGGGGAGTTGGGGGGGCATAAATGGGGGGCTGAGGGACAGACAGACAGGGCAAGGAGGGTTTGGGGGGGTCAGGCAGGACTGGGGGGGTCCCCATCCCTGCCTGGATGGGGCAGGGGAGCCGGGGGAGTTCGGGGGGATGGGGGGGGGAATGGGGGGTCTGAGAGGATGGACAGACAGGATTTGGGGGGCTGGAGGAGCACGGGGGGGGGGTTGAGGAATGGGGGCGTACAGGAGGGACTGGAGGAACTGGGGGAGCCAGGGGGACACATGGGGGTGAGGGGGGGTCACAGAGGCTCTGGGAGGGGCAGGTGGGGGGGACAGAGATGGGGGGGCCGGGGGGGTCAGACAGAGTTTGTGGGAGGTCAGAGAGAGTTTTGAGGGGGCAGCAGGAAGGGGGGTGTCCCACACGGGTCTGGGGGTCCCGGCGCCGGCGGGGGGGTCCCTCACCCAGGGCTGCTGTCGGGGGGGTCCGGCGGGGGCTCCAGGCCCGTCTCGGGGGGCGACTCCTCCATGTCGGGGCGTGCGGGGGGGGGCCCGAGGGGGGGTCCCTGCGCCCCTTCCCCCCCCCGGGCCGGGAGCCACAAACAACCACGTCCTGGCAGGAGGGGCCCCCCCCGGGACCCCTCGGAAAGCCCCGGTCCCGGGGGGGGCGGTGAGGGCAGGGGGCAGAGGGGCTGGGACCCCCCTCCCGGGGGCTGATACGGGGCAGGTTGGGGGCTGGGGGGACGCTGGGGGGGATTTTGGAGGGTCACAGGGCTGGGGGGGGGTTTGTGCATCACTCTCAGGGGGGCGGGGGGGCCGAGCTGGGGGGAGTTGGGGGGGGGCTGGTAAAGGGGGCTGAGGGGGGGTTTGAGGGGGGTCAGGGGGCTGGGGGGGTTCTGGTGTCCCCCTCCCTGGGATAAATCGGTGGGTGGCAAGGACTTGACAGGCAGCTGGAACCCCCCTTTTGGGGGCAAATCTGGGGGGGCGGCGGGGGGCTGGAACCCCACTCCTTGGTTCAAATCTGGGGGGGGTGGAGGGGTCTGGTGCCCCCCTTTTGGGGGGATATTGGGGGCGGCTGAGGGTGTTTGATGGCCCCCGACCTGGGGCACATCTGGGGGGGCCTGGTGCCCCTCCTTTTGGGGTAAATCTGGGGTGGTTGGAGGGGTTTGGTACCCCCCTTTCTGGGGAAAATCTCGGGGTACTGGAGGGGTCTGGTGCCCCCCTCCCTGGGGCAAATCTGGGGTAGTTTGGTCCCCTCCTTCTTGGGCCAGGTCGGGGGGGCCTGGGGGGGTCTGGTACCCCCCTCTTTTTTGGGCCACATTGAGGGAATCTGGGGGGATTTCGTTCCTCCCTTTTTGGGGCAAATCTGGGGGTGCTGGTGGGGTCTCGTACCCCCCTCCCTGAGGCAAACTGGGGGGGTCTGGGAGGGTTCGTTTCCCCCTTCTTTGGGGTAAATCTGGGGGGGCTGGGAGGGCCTGGTGTGTCTCTGCCTGGGGCAAATCTGGGGGTTCTGGGGGGCTCTGGTGTCCCTCTTTTGGGGACAAAGAGGAGGGGGTGGGGGGGGTCTTGTACCCCCCTTTCTGTGGTGTATCTGGGGGGGCTGGGGTGGTTTGGAACCCCCCTTTTTGGGGTAAATCTGTGGGGGTCTCTTGCCCCTCTTTGAGGGGCAAATCAGGGGGGGCTGGAGGGGTTTGTTGCCCCCCCTTCTGGGGCAAATCTGGGGGCACTGGGGGGCTGGTGGAGGTCCCAGACCCCTCTCCCAGGAGTGGCTCTGGGGGGGTCGGGGGCCTGGGGAGGGGCAGATCCTCATGTCCCCCTCCTGGGGGGTACCCGGGAGTGGGGGGGTCCTGGCCCCCCTGCTCTGGGGTGAGCTCAGGAGGGGTAGGGGGGTCCCAGTCCCCCTCACCTGGGCTGGGCTCCAGAGGGGTGGGGACTGCAGGGGGGTCCTGCTCCGCCCATTCCAGCTGCCCCCTCCCAGATCCCAGGGGCAGCTCCGGGGGGTCAGAGAGTGCCCGGTCTGAGGGTTGAGGGGGTCCTGGGGGAGGAGAAGACACGGGGGGGTGGTCCCCATCAGCATCAGTGCCCCCCCCAAAACCAGCCTCCCCAAGGATGGGGGGTCCCCACACTCACCCCACTCCACGGCGATGTCCCCGATGTCCCCTTCGGGGTGACCCCTGAGGGCTGTGGGCATGGGGGGGGTTTGGGGGTCCCCCCGTTCTGCCCCGGTGCCCCCTGTGGTGTTCCCCCCCTCGGCGAAGGCGGCGCTGTGGGTCCGGTAAAGGGGCACCCCCTGGGCCCCCCCAAGGGCCACCAGCCGGCTCTGGAACAGGGGGTTGGTGTGGAACTGGGGCTCCTCCTCCTCCTCCAGGTCCTCCTCGTCCTCGGCATCTTCCTCTGGGGAGGTGCTGCCGTGGTCATCGTCGTCATCCTCCTCCTCATCAACCTCATCATCCTCACTCTTCTCCTCTTTGCCGCGTTCGGGGGCTCGGGGCTCAGGGGCTGTGGTCCCACCCGTGGGCACAGTTTTGGGCAAGATGGTCCCATCCATCATCACAGTCTTGGACAGGTGGGTCTCATCCATGGTCACGGACTTGGCCGAGATGGTCAAATCCATGGTCAGGTGCTCCTGAGAGATGGTCCCATCCATGGGCACGAATTTGGGTGAGATGGTCCCATCTGTGGTCGTGAACCTGGATGGGATGGTCCTATCCATGGTCATGGGCATAGATGGGATTGCTGCGTCCATGGGCACATCCTCTGGAGAGATGGTCCCACCCATGGGCATGAACGTGGGTGAGATGGTCCCATCCACAGGCACAGATTTGGGTGAGATGGTCCCATCCACAGGCACAGATTTGGGTGAGATGGTCCCATCCACAGGCACAGATTTGGGCAAGTTGGGCCCATCCACGGTCATAGACTCGGGTGAGATGGTCGAATCTACATTCTCCTGAGAGACGGTCCTACCCATGGGCACAGACTTGGGTGAGATGGTCCCATCCTTTGGCACATCCGTGGACATGGACACGTGTGAGATGGTCCCACCCTCTGGCACAGTCTCCCCTGAGATGCTCCTGCCTGTGCACGAGTTGGTCTCATCCATGGCCACGGGCTTGGGTGAGATGGTCCCATCCACAGTCACATGTTCCTGAGAGATTCCCTGATCCGTGGGCATGGACGTGGGGGAGCTGCTCCCACCCACAGCCATGGACCTGGGGGAGATGCTCTCACCCATGGACACATGGAAGATGCTCCCAAAAATGAATCCACAGCCTTGGTCCTCCTGGAAGACACTCCCATCCAAGGGCAAGGACTCGGGTGGGATGCTCTTGTCCACGGGCACGGATTTTAGGGAGATGGCCCCACCTGAAGGCACGAGGGAGATGCTCTTGTGTGTGGATTCGTGGCCTTGGTCCTCATGGAAAGTGCCCCCATCCATGGGCATGGACTGGGGTGGGATGTTCTTATCCATGGGCACGGAATTGGGTGGGATGGACCCATCCATGGACGTGTGGAAGATGCTCCCATCCATGAGCACAGGCTTGGGTGGGATGTTCCCCCCTATGGACACGTGGAAGATGCTCTCAAATGTAGATCCATGGCCTTGGAGCTCCTGGAAGTTGCTCTTATCCATGGGTTTGGGTGGGACATTCCCATCCACAGACATGTGGAAGATGTTCTCCAACGTGGATCCACAGCCTTGGAGCTCCTGGAAGCTGCTCCCATCCACCCCCAGGCTCTGCACGTTCTCCTCCGGACCCCCAGGCTGGGGGGGGGCGGTGCCGGGGGCCGTGTCCCCACAGTGGGGGGGGTCCCAGGGGTGCTGGGGCAGGGGGTCCCTGGGGGGGGGCTGCCCCTCGAGGGCTCCCTGCAGGTCCCACACGCAGAGCTGGGCACGGGCCAGGCTGGCCCAGAACACGTCGGGGGGGGCGCTGGGGGCCTGGGGGGGGGCTGGGGAGGGGGCCTGGGTGGGGGTCACGGGGGTCAGGGAGGGGGTTACTGGGGGTGCCAGGGTGGTCTGGGAGGGAGTCAGGGGGGGTGCCTGGGGGGAGGTCAGGGTGGGGGTCAAGGGGGATGCCAGGGGGGGTGCCAGGGGGGGGGTCACCGCCTCGGCTCCCCCCCCGGAGAAGACGATGGCGTCCTGCGCCGCCAGCACCCCGGGAGGGGTCGGGGGGGTCCCCGCAGGCTCCATGGGGCCCCTCCCTACAGCTGCCCGGCCAGGCTGGGGGGGGCTGCGCTGCCCCGAGGGTCCTGAGGGTCCTGAGGGTCCAAAGGGTCCGTGCCCATGGCGGGGGGGGCCCTGGGGGCAGAGGGAGGAGAGGGGATGTGGGTGGGGGGTCTAACATGTAGGGAGGGGTGGGGTGGGGTGGGAAGGGAAGGGGAGGAGGGAGGAGGAGGAGGGGGAGAGGAGAGAGGAGGGAGAGAGGGATGAAGAAAGGAGAGGAGGGAGGGAGGGGGAAGGGATGAAGGATGGCAGGACGATGGAGGAAAGGAGGGAAGGAGGGATTGAGGAGGAAGGGAGGGAGAAGGGAGAGAGCGAGGGAGGGATGAGAGAGGGAGGGAGAAGAGAGGAATGAGGAAGGAAGGGTTGGAAGGAAGGGGGAAGAAAGATGGGAGAGAGGGATGAAGGAGGAAAGAGGGGAGAAGAAGGGAGGGAGGGAGGAAGGAAGGAGGGAGGAAAGAGGGAAGGAAGAGGAGGGAGGAGGGAAGGATAGAGGAGGAAGGGAGGAAGGAGGGGGAAGAGAGGGAGGGAAGTTGAGGGGAGGAAGAGATGAAGGAGGAAGGAGGAAGGGGGGAAGGGAGAAGGAGAAAAGAGGAAGGAAAGGAAGGGGGGAGGAAGGGAGGGAGGGAGGCAGGGAATGAGAGAGAGAGGGAAGAGTGGGCGGAAGGGATGAAGGAAAAGAGGGAAGGAAGGATGGAGGAAGAAGGAGGGAAGGAGGGGGATGGATGAAGGGAGAAGGCAGGAGAGAGGGAAGGAGGAAGCGGAGGAGGAGGAGGAGGAGGGAGGGCTTAGAGGAGGAAGGAGGAAGGAAGAGGAGGAGGAGGAGGGAGAGGGGGAGGAGGCTCGGGGAAGGGAAGGAGGGTCAGGGGGTGGTCAGGAGGCCCCCACGGCCAGGTGGGGGGTCCCGGCACCCTCACCCAGCACCTGCACACCCCGTGTCCGGCCCCGTCACCCCACGGCCCCACGTCACCCACCCCGTGTCACCGCGTCACCGGCACCGCTTCCGCCCCGCGGGGCAGGAAACGGGGGGAGGGCACCCACAGACCCCCCTCAGCCTGGGGGGGGGGGCTGCACCCCCAAATCCCCCCCAAAACCGCCCCGCAAAGGCTTTTAAAGGGGCTTGAGGAGGGGGAGGAAAGGTCTGTCTGTGGGGATCCCAAGTGGTTATGGGGAGAGGTGGGGGGTATCTGAGGGTAGGGACCCCAAAAGTTGGGGTGGGGCCCCAAAGGGGGGGGACCTCAAAGGGTGGGGGAGTCCAAAGGAATTTGGGGTGCTCTGGGGGGTGTTGGGGACCCCGATGGGTGGGACCCCAAAGACCAGGGCAAACCAAAAGTTTCGGGGGGCTCAGGAGGGGGGTGGGGTCCACAGGGGTTGAGGGGACCTCAAAAGGTGTAGGGGTGACCCCAAATGGGTGGGGGAGACCCCACGGAGTGAAGAGGCCCAGAGACAAGTGGGGGCTCCAGGGGGGACCTTCAGAGTCCAAGGGGGACCCAAGAGTTATGGGGGGACCCCAAGAGTTATGGGGGGCCCCGAGGGCTACGGGGGGGCCCGAAGGGTGGGGGTATCCTGGATTTTCTGGGGGAACCCTCACGGCTTGGAGGACCCTGCAGGGCGGTGTGGGGAGCCCGGGGGGGCTCCGAGGGCTCTGGGGGCCCCACAGGGACCCCTCGCTCCCACCCCCCGGGCCGTGGGGACCCCCGGAGTCCCTCCCCCCCTTACCGGCACTGCCGCGCGGGCGGGGGCGGGGCCTCGGCTGGGCACGCCCCCTCTCGGGGGTCGGGTAGACACGCCCCCTCCTCGGGGGCGGGGCCAGGGGCTCGATGAGTTCGTTGTTGTCACGCCCACTTGTTAGGCCACGCCCCCCGAGAGGCCACGAGCCCCCGGGCTGCCCCGCGGGACCGATCCCGATGGAGCCCCCGTGGACCATCCTGACCCTGTGGGTCGATCCTGCCCCACGGGGCCCGATCCTGGCCCCCCTCCCCAAATCACACACCCTGAGCTGACACCAAGACTGTCGCTTTATTTGGAAGGGAGGACGCCCCCACCCGTGGATGTCCCCCCATGGGTGCCCCCCATGAGTGCCCCCCGCCTGTGGGTGCCGGGGTCACTTTCGGCGCAGGTAGAAGGCGGTGGCCCCGTGGGGGGGGGCCATGGCCAGGGCCTCCCCCGGGCCTGGGGCCGTGCTGAGGAACAGCCCTGGGAACGCTGCGGCCTCGAAGGTGTGCGTGGACCCCCCGAAGGTTTTGTAGAAGGTGAAGGGCGTGGCCTCGTCTCCCTTCTTTGAGAACAGCTCCAGCAGCTCCACGTCCTGCCGGAGGGACACACAGAGCTGGGACACCACCCCAGGGCGGCACCATCCCAGGAACCCCCATCTCCAGGTGACTCCATTGCCAGGTGACCCCACCTCCAGGTGACCCCACCTCAAGAAACCCCCATCTCCAGGTGACATCACCACCAGGTCCCCACCACCTCAGGGTGCCCCCATTTTGGGTTGACCCACCTCTGGGTGCCCCTCTACCTTGGGTTGACCAACCCTGTTGCCCCCCCAGGTGCCCCCTCACCTCCAGGTGCAGCCAAGGCTCGGGGCCGGTGCCGCAGGACAGGGCGCGGGTGCCCCCGCGGATGCCCACGATGAGGGGGCAGCGCCAGCGCTCCAGGTGCCGGTTGGGCACGACGCTGATGGGCTCTGTGGGGACACGGGGCTGGGTGGGGGCCCTCGAGGGGGGGCACCCTCCCCACGGACGACACCCACCTTCCTGGGCGGCGTTGGCGCCCTGCAGGCTGGTGGCCACCAGGTGCCCGTCCCGCAGGCACAGCCCCTTCTGCTCCGTGTCCCGCAGCACGTAGTGGTACGGCTGGGCCGGGGGGCGCGAGGCCGCCGAGGCCATCATCGTCACTTTTGGGGACACGGGGACATGTGAGGACACAGGGACGGGACACAGGGATGTGGGGATGGGGACACGGTGGGGACGGACACGTGGGGACACGGGGACATGGGGACGTGGGCACATCACAGGGACGTGGGGATGGGGCCCACGGGTACATGGGGAACATGGGGACATGGGGTGTCTTGGGCATGTGGAGACGTGGGGACATGACTGGGGACATGACAAGGATGTGGGGATGGGGGACACGGGGACATGGGGATTGGAGACACGAGTGTGGCAGACGTGGGGAGTGGGAAAGAGGCACATGGACACATGGGTACACGAGGGGGCACATGGGTGCACGGGCACAAGTGGGCACCACAGGGATGTGGGGATGGGGGACATAGGAATTTGGGGGCAGGGATGGACACAGGGACACCTGAGGACACGGGGGACCCGTGGGGCACCCAGCAGGCACTGCCTCTACCTTTCCCCAGGAAGTCCTCGAACAGGGCCTCCATGTCGGGGTCGATGACAGACTCGGCCGCGTTCCCGGGCCCCGTCAGGACTCCCAGGGGGTGGGACCGCTTGGGGGGTCCCCGGGGACCCCGGGCCCCTCTGCACCGGGGAGGGGGGAGAGAGAGGGGGTGAAGATGGGTGTCACACGGGGTGACCCGACCCAGGTCCGAAGGGAGGGGCAGCCCCATCCCACCCTGTCCCCACTCACGTGACAGCAGGTCTGGACACGCGGGACATGGCTGGGCCTGGAGGGAGAGGGGGACACGGGTGACACGGGGGACACAGGTGGAGGACACCCCTGCCACTCACCCCTGTCCCCTGCTGCCAGCCCCGGCCATCAGGAGCATCCAGAGTGAACACTCTGGGAATCCTTCCTGGGCAGGACCTGCTTGTCCCTGTCCCTGTTCCCAGCCCTGGGAATTGTTCCCAGGCAGGACCTGGCCTGTCCCTGTCCCCATTCCCAGGTACCTGTGACTCTGGCAGCTCCCGAGGTCCGGTCCTGTCTGGGCTCTGTCCCCTGGGGGTGGTGGTGGCTTTATAGGGCCGGGCAGGGCGGGGGGCAGAGCCCGCCCTGCTGATTGTAGGGCAGTGCCAAGCTGGCATGGGGAAATGCCACCTGGGCCCCTTGTCCCCATTATCCACTGTGCTGCCCATGGTCACCGTGGCAGGGATGTCCCCTGTGCCATGTCCCCCACCACCAGCCCTGTCCCCGCAGTGTGTCCTGTCCCACAGGTACCGGTGTGTCCCCAGTGCCCTGTCAGCATTTTCCCATGTGCCTTGTCCCCATGGTGCCTGTGAGCCCTGTCCCCACAGGCACCTGTGTCCCATCCCCATGGTCCTGTGCCCCCTGTCCCTGTGCTGTGCCCTCTGTCCCTGGGTCCCACATGCCCATGTGCCCCATCCCCGTGATACCTGTCCCCATGTTTGTGTCCTCCCTGTCCCCATGGTTCCACAAGCCCTGTCCCCGTGGTGTCCTGTCCCCAAGATCCCATGTGCCCTGTACCCATGTGCCCCGTCCCCACAGCCCCGCGTGTCCCGGTGTCCCCCGGTCCCACATCCCCTGTCCCCGCGGTGTCCCTGTGCCCCATTCCCACGCGTGCCGTGTCCCCGCGTCCCCTCCCCGCGGTGCCAGGCCGGGTGTGCCGGGCGGGAAGCGTCGTTTCCCCGGCGGGATCCGGGAAGGGGCGGCCCCGAAGGTGCCCGGACCGGGGCAGCCCCGGCTGCGTCACCCCGGGCTGGGGACGCGCCGTTCCCGTCCCCACGGGCCGGTGGCGCAACCCGGGACACTCCGCGGGTGACGCAGCCACCGCCGCCCCCCCGTGCCCTGTCCCCGGTGCCACCCACGCCACGGGCACCGCGCTGGCCTGAGCATCTTTATTGCCTCAGCGGCGCAGGGGGGAGGACGGCGCTGTCCCCGCGGGGATGGCACCGTCGGAGGTGGTGGGAGGCTGGTGGCACCAGCCCGGGGGTGAGGATGTCACCGTCCCCATGGGGCTGGCACCATGCCCAGGGCGAGGATGCCACTATCCTGGGGAGGATGCCACCCTTCCGAAGGGGATGGCACCGTCCTGTGGGGATGGCACCTACCCTGGAGTGAGGATGTCACTTTTCCCAGTGGAATGTCACCTTCGCCAGGGGGCTGGCACCATCCTCGGGGTGAGGATGTCACCAACCTGGGTGGGGATGTCACCCTCCCCAAGGAGCTGGCACTATCCTGGGGGAGGTGCCACTGTCCCCAGGCTGAGGACGTCCCTGTTCCCAGTTGGGAGTGTCCCCATGGCTGTGCCAGGGGGGCTCAGCAGAGCTGGAAGTAGAAGTCGAGCAGGTGGGTGGCATCGTGGCTGCGGGACAGCGCCAGGGGCTGGTGGCCCCGGGCAGAGGTGCAGAGGAACCAGCCGGGGTTGGCAGCAGACTCGAAGCGCCACAGCCCGTCCTTGTAGGAGCGGAAGAAGGTGAAGGCGGCCGAGGCCTCCCCGGTGTGGGGCAGCTCCCGGATGTCCACGGCCTGCGGGGACAGAGGGGTCACCCACGGCCTGGGGGGCAGCACGGCAGGGCTGGCACCCACGGCCAGCAGGGGACACGGGCGCTGTGCCACCGGGGGCTGAGGTGGCACTGTCCCCACGATGTCCCATCCCCACAGTCCCTGTGTCCCCACCCCACACCGTGCCATCCCTGAGGTCCCTGGGTCCCCATCCCTGCAGTCCCCATGTCTCCACCCTTGTGGTGTCCTCATCCCCATGGCATCCCCTTGGCATCCCTGTCCCACAGTGTCCCCATCCCATGGTGTCGCCATCCCTTTGGTGTCCCCTCAGTGTCCCCATGCCCCTGTCCCCGTGTCTGTCCCACCTGCAGCTGCAGTGCCGGGGTGGTGCTGGTTTTGGGGTGGCTGGCGAGGCAGCGGGTGCCGTTGCGGATGCCCAGGATGACGGGGAGCCGGGTGGGCTCGAAGGCGCGGTTGGGCACCCAGAACACCTTCTCTGGGGGGGTCACACACCCGGGGGGCCATCAGGATTAGGGTCAGGGTCCCTCACCACCCCCACGTCCCCCCTGTGACCCCTCATCACCTTCCAGGGCGGCGTTGGCCCCTTGCAGGTGCCCGGCCAGCAGTTGGTCATCCCGCAGGTACAGCGACTTCTGGTTCACATCCCAGAGCCTGGGGGGCACAGACAGCGGTGTCACCCTCTGCCACCCCTCAGGGTCCCCTAGGGGTGCCCCCTGCCCTCCTTACCGGTACTGGAACACCTTGGTCTGCAGGGTGGGTGCCTGGCAGGGGGAGAAGCCTTCAGCCTCTGCGCAGAGGAGGAGGAAGAGGGAGAGGGTGAGGGCGCTGGCCATGGTGCTCCGGAGCCGCCCTGGCACCCTCTGGCACCCCAACACCGGCCCAGCACCCCCGCCCTTATAACCCCCTCGAAATGCCAGTCCTGCGGGGGTGGGGGGCTCCCAGTGGCGTAACAACCACCACGGTTCCGCTTCCCCTCCCGGCCCGCCGAGCCCTGCCGGGGGTCCCCGCTCTCACCCGCGGGACCCCCCACCCTACTCATGCTGCGGGACCGCGAGAGGGAGGAAGGAAGGAAGGAGGGTGGCAGTGGTGTTGCCACACTGCTGGGGAGGGAGGCGGGGCTCGCCCCCGCCCAGCGCTGGGCAGCTCGGGGGGGTGACACCCGAGGTGAAACATTGAGGGGGGCGACACGGCGACATGACAGGGGGTCAGTGCGACCCCCGACTGGCCGCAGCGGGTCTCGAACCCAAGTCTCCCTAGTGAGGGAGCGGCGCCCTCCCTGTTGCGCCACCGCGAGGGGGCGTCGTACGCATGCGCAGTTACGAAGGCGGGAGGCCCACAGGAGCGGCGTGGGCAGCGCTGAGTGGCTCGGGGTGGGTAGCGCATGCGCAGAGAGCGATGTGAAGCCTCCATGCACGGGCAGGGCGGTAAGGGCGCGATATGCGCTTGCGGAATGCGGGATGTGAAGCCCCGGCGCAGGCGCAAGGCGCTAAGTGCGGGAGAAGCGCATGCGTAGCGTGCGCGGTGAGGCGGCAGCCCATGCGCAGAGCGCCCCCGCGGGCGGCAGCGGCTGGGCCATGGCGGCGCTGAGGGCGCTGAGCGCGGCGGAGGCCGCGCTGCTGCTGCTGCTCCTCGGCTGCGGCGCACACGGGCTTTACTTCCACATCGGGGAGACAGAGAAGCGCTGCTTCATCGAGGAGATCCCCGACGAGACCATGGTCATCGGTGCGAGGGGAGGGGGCACGGCAGGGACCATTGTGGCGGGGGGGGAGAGACCACCGGAGACTTGGGGGGTAACGGGAAGAACCACTGCGGATTGGGGGTAATGGGAGGGACCGTTGGGTACTGCAGGGGGGTGAGACCACCGGGATCTGGGGGGGGGGACAGGAGGGACCACTCCGTACGGGAGGGGACGAGGAGACCAGTGGGGACCGGGAGGGGCCACCAGGTGCTTTTTGGGGATGGGAGAGACCACCGGGATCTGGGAGGGGTCACCAGGGATGTCACGGGAGCGACCCCCGGGCACTGGGGGGGGGGGCAACACTGGAGACCACCGGGTTGGGGGGGAGGGCGATGGGAGGGACTGAGAAACCCCCCAGGTGCGATGGGGAAGGGCAGGAGGAACCCCTGGGAAGGGGGATGGAGGGGCCGGGCTGGGGGGCACTGGGATGGGAGTTGGACCCTCCCCGACCCCGTGTCCCCCCCGTTCCCAGGGAACTACCGGACACAGCTGTGGGACAAACAGTCCGAGTCGTTCCTGCCCTCCACTCCCGGGCTGGGCATGCACGTGGAGGTCAAGGACCCCGACGGAAAGGTGGGCACCTCCAGGACAGGGCAGTGGCCCTGTCTTGGCGCCCTGGAGTGGGTGACAGTGGCCCTGTCCCAGTGTCCCAGGGTGTGACAGTGGCCCTTTCCCAGTCCTGGGGGTGTGACACGCCCCCCATGTCCCCAAGTGGTGCTGTCCCCGTAGTGTCACAGTGTCCCTGTGGGTCCCTGGGCTGTGTGTGACACTGTCCCTGTCCCAGGTGGTGCTGTCCCGCCAGTACGGCTCCGAGGGTCGCTTCACCTTCACATCCCACACGCCGGGGGAGCACCAGATCTGCCTGCACTCCAACTCCACCCGCATGGCCCTGTTCGCTGGGGGCAAACTGGTACTGCTGGGGCAAACTGGGAACACTGGGGAGGGGTCCCCAACGCTAGGGGGGGTCTCTGCCACCCTGTGCCACCCCCTGAGCCCCCCCGACCCCTTCTGTGCCTGCAGCGGGTACACCTGGACATCCAGGTGGGTGAACACACCAACAACTACCCCGAGATCGCGGCCAAGGACAAGCTGACAGAGCTGCAGCTCCGGGCACGGCAACTCCTGGACCAGGTGGAGCAGATCCAGAAGGAGCAGAACTACCAGAGGGTGAGCAGGGGGTCCTGCAGGGTCAGTTTGGGGGGATCACCCAGTTTCCCCCCCTCTCTGACCCCCTTTCCCCATTTTTGGGGCAGTACCGGGAGGAGCGGTTCCGCATGACGAGCGAGAGCACCAACCAGAGGGTGCTCTGGTGGTCCATCGCCCAGACCATCATCCTCATCCTCACTGGTATCTGGCAGATGAGGCACCTCAAGAGCTTCTTTGAGGCCAAGAAGTTGGTGTAGCCACCCCAAACCCCTGAGAGGCTCCCCCAAATCACCCAACACGCCCCAAAGGGGGGATCCAGCCCGCCCCGGGGGACTCCCACAGACCTGGGGAGGGACCTTTGCTGCCTGCTGGGACGCTGGGGATGGTGGGCAGGTTTGGGGGGGCCCTGCCTGCCATCTGGGAGGGGGGAACCCGCCCCCTACTTGGGGGAAAATAAAGATTTTATTGGGGAAAATAAAAGGGTTTTTTGTTTCAATGGGGCTTCCTGGTGCTTTTTTGGACTGGGGAGGGAATCTGCTGCTGCAGGAAGCCAGGGTGGGGGTTCAGCCATCCAGCTACCTTTCTACAGTGCGTTTTCCCCCTCCTGGGGAATGAATCCCCCCAAAAAAGACCCCTGGGACAGGGGGGGGACGAGGTTTCAGGGGCTCCTCCAGCCCCGAGCATTCCTCCACCACCAGGGGGCGCTGCGGCGCCTGCCTCCTCGGCGGCGCTCTGTGCACACAACCGGAAGTGTCTGTGGGCGGGGCGGCGAAGATGGCGGCGGACACGGCGGCGTCGGGCTTCGAGCACATGGGGCTGGACCCGCGGCTGCTGAGGGTGGGGAGGCCGGGGGACACGGGAGGGGAAAACAGGGGCCTTCGGGACACGGGGAGGGGGCTCAGCCCCACGGGAGGGGTCCACGGGGAGTGAGGGGAGGCCTCGAGGGGGCTGAGAGGGTTTTGGAGTCCCTGGGGACCCCCACCATGGGGAGGGAGTGTCTTGGGGGGGCATTGGGGACCCCGGGTTTTGGTGGGGATGTCTGTAGGACAGAGTGGGACAGTGAGGTCCCCCGTTTTGAGGAGGGGGTGTCTGTGGGCCTTGGGGGGCACTGATGACCCCACCGTGGAGAGGGCCTATCTGGGGGGGTTTCTGTGTCCCCCACCATGGACAGGGGTTGTCCTAATCCCTGTGATGACCCCGGTGTCCCCCCAGGCGGTGGCAGAACTGGGCTGGGCAACGCCCACGGCCATCCAGGCCCAGGCCATCCCCCTGGCATTGGAGGGCAGGGACCTGCTGGCACGGGCCAGGACGGGCTCCGGGAAAACAGGAGCCTACGGGCTGCCCCTGCTGCACAAACTGCTCAGCATCAAAGAGGTGAGGGCATGGGGGGCACGGGGGATGGGGGGTATTGGGCATCCTGGCAGTGGGGTCATGGGGGCACCTTGGGGTGGGGGGCACCATGGGGCATCCAGGACATGGTGGGCTCTGTGGGGCACAGGGGTGTCCTTGATGTCCCTGTTCCCCCGGTGTCAGTGCTGGTGCCCACAGGCTGTGTGGGCACTGGTGCCCTCGGGGGGTGCAGGACTGGGCTCTATGGCACACGGGGGGATCCCTGTGTGCCCCAGTGACAGCTCCTGTCCCCCAGGCATCCCCAGCGCTGCCCCAGGCCGTCCGTGCCCTGGTGCTGGTGCCCTCGGCGGAGCTGGGCCGGCAGGTCGGGCACACCCTGCGCCAGCTCTCGGCCTTCTGTGCCCGCCGGCTGCGTGTGGTGGACCTGTGCTCACAGAGCGACCCTGCTGCCCAGAGGTGAGGGACCCCTGTGCCCTGTGTGCCCCCGACCCTCCCTGTGCCCCCTGAGCCCCTCAGCCCTCCCTTACCCCGTGTGTGTGCCAGGCCCGTGCTGATGGAGCAGCCTGACGTGGTGGTGGGCACCCCGGGGCGGGTCCTGGCCCACCTGGGCGGGCACAGCCTGAGCCTGCGGCACTCGCTGGAGCTGCTGGTGCTGGATGAGGCCGATCTGCTGCTGTCCTTTGGGTTTGGGGACGACATCAAGGCCCTCCTCTGGTGAGGGGGCACAGGGGGTGTGGGGGGCATGGACAGGGCACATGGGAGCAGGGATGGGGGTACTGGGGCCACTACTGGGGGTGGAGGGCATGGAGGGCAGTGCCAGGGGTTTGGGGGCACTGAGGGTTTTGGGGGCACTGAGGGTTTGGGGTGGAGTGCCACAGGGGGCACCGATGGGGACATGGGGGGCAGGGGATGGGAGCATGGGGGGGCTCTGCCAGGGCTGGGGGAAGCAGCAGGGCTGGAAAGGGTAGAAGGCACAGCCAGGGGACTGGGAGACACTGTTGGGGGTGGAGGTTGTGGGGGGGGCACAGCCCAGGAGTTTGGGGGGCACTGAAAGTTATGGGGGCACCACCTTGGGTTTGGAGGGCACTGCTGGGGTTTGGGGGACATTGTTAAAGCAGGGAGACTTTGGGGCACAATGAGTTTTGGGGGCATTGCCAGGGCTGGGGGGCACAGGGGGGCTCGAGAGGGGCAGCAGAGCATCACCAGGCCTGGTGCCAGGGGGCCTGGGGGGCACTGAGCCCCCTGTTCCCCTCAGCCACCTGCCCAAGATCTACCAGGCCCTGCTGGTGTCGGCCACGTTCAACCCCGAGCTGGAGGCGCTGCAGGAGCTTGTGCTGCACAACCCCGTGAGGAATGAGGGGCTGGGAGGGGTTTGGGGCATCCAGGGGGAGGTTTGGGGCATCCAGGGGGAGGTTTGGGGCATCCAGGGGGAGGTTTGGGGGCTCTGAGGGAGGTTTGCAGGATCCAAGGAGGATCCAGAGCGGGCACAAAGATGGGAAAATGCCGGGATTTGGGAGCACCGCCCCCCAGGAGCAGATTTAGGAGACACAAGGAGCCCAGAGGACCCTGTGGGTGCCACAGCCCCCCCGTTTTTCCCCGTTTTCCCCCGTCCCAGGTGCTGGTGCTGCCCCCGGAGCCGCGGCTGCCGGGCCATTCCCAGCTGCAGCAGTTCCAGGTGCGCTGTGGGACGGAGGAGGACAAGTTCCTGGTGCTCGTGGCGCTGCTGCAGCTGCGGCTGCTGCGGGGCCGGGCCCTGCTCTTCGTGGGCAGC